GTCCTCACCTATAAATGGAGGACAATACAACCTACTTCAAATGGCAGTAATTAAATAATATAAGGTAAGCCTGAGCGGTGGCTCAGCTCATGCCTATAGTCCTAGCACTTTGGGAGGCCAAGGCAGATGGACTGCATGAGCCCAGGAGTTCAAGACCAGCCTGGGCAACATGGCAAAACTCCATCTCTACAAGAAATACAAAAGTAAGCTGGGCAGGGTAGCACATGCTTGTAGTCCCAGTAACTTGGGAGGCTGAGGTACAAGAATCACCTGAGCCTTGGGAGGTTGAGGCTGCAGTGAGCTGTGATCACACCACTGCACTCCAGCCTGGGCAACAGAATGAGACTCTGTCTCAATCAGCAACAGAAGGTAAAACAAGTTAAGTGTCTAACACAATGTGTTATTTTCTTCCATCTTGTTTGTAAGGGACATACGTGGCTCAAATTTGCAGCAGTGATAAATCTTGCAATGTTTTACCCAGTGTTCTCTCCAGAATAAACAAAGGCAAGACAATGTTAATCAAGGAACAGCCTCAAAACTCAATTGTTACACTTCCTCAGTTTCCTGAGGGAAGTCTAAGAGCTTCTCTTTAGCTCCCCTAAAACAGTGGTTCCACTCTTGTTCTACTGATTTTTTCACTTTCTGTACAAACTATGGAAAGTGATCATTTTCATACATAACCATGGCTTTATCATCCATAAACTCAATTCTCAAATCTGTATCTCCAACTCAGATTTCTTTCTGTATCTCAAGATTTAAAAATCAAAGTGTCTACTGAATGTTTAACCTGGTTGTCCCACAAGAAAACTAAACTCAAAATCCTAAAATAAACTTTTATTTCCCTCCAAATTGTCTGTCTTCCTACATTCCCTATGGCACCATTATCCACCAAGGACAGAAACCTGAGAGACATCTTATATTCCTCTTCTATCCCCTTTTCTCCATATTCAAGTTCTGTAATCCATCTCAAACAGTAAGCCCCACCTGCACCCCAAACATGCCAGGCAGTTTCATGCCTTAGTGTTTTGGAACACATTATTCCCTCTACCTAGAAAATCTTCCACTTCCTCCTTTGCTTGACTAACTTCTCTCATCCTTCAGAATTGAGCTGAAGGATTTTCTCCTCTAGAAAACAAAAGCCAACTAGCATTTACTAAACACATACTATATTCTAATCACTGTGCAAAACACTTTGCATGCATTGTCTTGCCTAATACTCTAAATTCAGAGACAAGGTAGGTACTGTTATGTTTCTACAGATGGGGGAGGCCAAGATGTAACTCATGGGAGGTCATATATAAATAGTAAATAGTAGAAATGAAATTCAAACTTAGGTCTGACCCTAGTGCATTAAGAATGCTCTTAGCCACCCTACTATACCACAGCTTCCCTTTTCCAGCCCCTACCCCCACAATCCTACAACCTCGTGATTAGTTAGGAGTCTCTCCTTTAGCTGCCATAATGAACGGATTGTGCAGCACACTATAAATCTTTAATGTTTGGTTTGTCTTTTCTCAAATAAGTCTGTGAGTAAAGCAATTTGAAGACAAAGTCTATTTCATTTACAATAGTCTCTCATTATCCAGAGTTATCCAATGTCTGAAAATAAATGGAAAATTCCAGAAATAAACAATTCATACTTTTTGTTTGTTTGTTTTTTGAGACAGAGTCTCACTCTGTTGCCCAGGCTGGAATGCAATGGCGCAATCTTCGCTCACTGTAACCTCCGCCTCCCGGATTCAAGCGATTCTCCCTGCCTCAGCCTCTTGGGTAGCTAGGATTACAGGTGCCCGCCACCACACCTGGCTAATTTTTGTATTTTTAGTAGCGATGGGGTTTCGCCATGTTGGCCAAGCTGGTCTTGAACTCCTGACCTCAGATGATCCACCAACCTCGGTATCCCAAAGTGCTAGGATTACAGGCGTGAGCCACGGCACCTGGCCAACAATTCATAAGTTTTAAGTTGCACACTGTTGTCAATTGCGTGATGAAATCTCGAGCCATCCCGCTCAGGATGTGAATCATCCTTTTGCCCAGCCTATCCATGCTGTATATGCTACCTGCCCTTTAGTCATCAACATCTCCTGCTCAACATTATCATGGCTCAATGATCCAAGATCATCTACAGCAGATGATTCTCCTTCTGACTTATCAATAGTGGCCTAAGGCTATATCACAATGCTGTCATTCACCTTACCTCATCAGGAAGGCAGTTTATCATCTCACATCATCACAAGAAGGGTGACTACGGTATAATAAAATATTTTGAAAAAGAGAGACCACATTCATGTAACCTTTATTATATTGTTATAATTGTTCTATTTTATTAGTTACTGTACCTATTATATAAATTAGACTTTATCATAGGTATGAGAAAAAACAGAGTTCAATACTATTCCAGGTTTCAAGCATCTACTGGGGTCTTGGAATATGTCCCCCTCAGATAAGGGGGAACTACTATATCTGTATTGCTGTACCCAGTAGACTGCTTGGCCCATGGCAGCCTTAAAAAGTATTAGGGGGAGCCACACAAGGTGGCTCATACCTGCAATCCCAGCACTTTAGGAGACCAAGGTAGGTGGATCACCTGAGGCCAGGAGTTCGAGACCAGCCCGACCAACAAAGTGAGACCCCCCCCACCCCATCTCTATCAAAAACAATTTTTTTTAATTAGCCATTCAAAATGGCTTATTCCTATAGTCCCAGTTACTCAGAAGGCTGAGTCAGGAGGATGGCTTGATCACCCAGGGATTTTGAGGCTGCAGCAGGCTATCATCATACCACTGCACTCAGCCTGAGCAACGAAGTGAAACTCTGACTCTAAAAAAAAAAAAAAGTATTGGCCAGGCGCAGTGGCTCAAGCCTGTAATCCCAGCACTTTGGGAGGC